CCAATTTTTTGACTTGCACGAGTTTGAGAAAAACATGTCAACACCAAAAGTTTGAGAAAAAAACATGTCAACACCAAAACTAGTCAATTTTCCCCATTTTTTGACTTGCACGAGTTTGAGAAAAACATGTCAACACCAAAACAAGTCAATTTTCACCATTTTTTGGATTCCAGGAGTTTGAGAAAAACATGTCAACACCAAAACTAGTCAATTTTCACCATTTTTGGATTCCAGGAGTTTGAGAAAAACATGTCAACACCAAAACTAGTTAATTTTCACCATTTTTTGGATTCCAGGAGTTTGAGAAAAAACATGTCAACACCAAAACTAGTCAATTTTCCCCATGGTTCTAAGTTTCAGTCCGTCAACACCAAAAGTCAATTTTCCACATTTTTTGGATTCCAGGAGTTTGAGAAAAACATGTCAACACCAAAACTAGTCAATTTTCACCATTTTTGGATTCCAGGAGTTTGAGAAAAAACATGTCAACACCAAAACTAGGCAATTTTCCACATTTTTCGGATTCCAGGAGTTTGAGAAAAACATGTCAACACCAAAAATAGTCAATTTTCCCCGTTTTTTGGATTCCAGGAGTTGAGAAAAACCATGTATATATATATATATACTATATGTATATATGTACATATGTATATATGTACATATGTATATTACATGATTTTGCTATATTTGGAGGGTAGTGGTTCTAAGTTTCATTCCGTCAACACCAAAACTAGTCAATTTTCTTCATTTTTTGGAGTCCAGGAGTTGAGAAAAACATGTCAACACCAAAACTAGTCAATTTCACCCATTTTTTGGATTCCAGGAGTTGAGAAAAAAATATGTCAACACCAAAACTAGTCAATTTTCCCCATTTTTGGATTCCAGAAGTTGAGGAAAAACATGTGTATATATTTAATATGTATATATGTACATATGTTTAATATATGTACATATGTATATTACATGATTTTGCTATATTTGGAGTTTAGCGGTTCTAAGTTTCATTCCGTCAACACCAAGACTAGTCAATTTTCCTTATTTTTTGGATTCCAGGAGTTGAGAAAAAACATATGTATATATGTACATATGTATATATGTACATTTGTATATTACATGATTTTGCTATACTTGGAGGGTAGTGGTTCTAAGTTTCATTCCGTCAACACCAAAACAAGTAAATTTTCTTCCTTTTTTGGATTCCAGGAGTTGAGGAAAAAACATGTCAACGCCAAAACTAGCAAACTTCCCCTTTTTTGGATTCCAGGAGTTGAGAAATACATGTGTATATATATATATGTGTGTGTGTGTATGTCAATTATTTCCAACTATTTCCCCGCATTTTATGGGTAGCTCAATTGCCAATGGAATTTCATTTAGCTCCTAAAACACCAGTGGATGCACGCAATGCAATGTTTTCCCACCAAACATTTGTTTTGTGTTCTATTTCAGCTCCCGATTTCTGTAAGACAAGAGATATGTATATATATATATATATTTGCATGTCTATTCAAACCCTTTTCAAAGAAGACATTGTTTTCAGGGGCACCTTTACATTTCCATATCTTACCCTCTATTCTGGTATATGCCATTGATTCCAAGTTTCTATATTTCCAAATGCACCTTACATATACATATATATATATATATGCATACTCATATATTATATAATTCCAAGCAGTTCCCCAAAAATATAATCCCTTCTCCCTAATACTAAACGTCCCCCCTAATAATAAACATGACAGGTAGTTTTTAGTATTAGGGGTGTATTTAGTATTAGGGAACCCTAATACTAAATTAAAACCCTTGATAATAACAACTAGTTTTTCCGATCTCAAAATCAAGTAAATTTCTTTATATAACGCTATTAAAATATTGCCAAAAATTGGATTTCGAAGCTTCCCCTAATACTAAATTAAAACCCTTAATAATAAAAACTGTGTTTTTCGATTTCAAAATCAATTATTTTGGTTGTGAAACGCAATTGAAATATTGCCAAAAATTGGATTTCGAAGCTTCCCCTTAATACTAAATTAAAACCCTTAATAATAAGAACTAGGTTTTCCGATTTCAAAATCAATTATTTTTGTTGTGAAACGCAATTGAAATATTGCCAAAAATTGGATTTCGAAGCTTCCCCCTAATATTAAATTAAAACCCTTAATAATATTTTTTTTCGATTTCAAAATCAATTAAATTTCTTTATATAGCGCAATTAAAATATTGCCAAGATTGGATTTCGAAGCTTCCCCCTAATACTAAACACCCCGGGGCTGACTAGTTTTTAGTATTAGGGGGGGAACCCACAAATGGTAGGTTGATTTTTAAATTGTTTTCTAAAGGGGATCAATTAAAAGTCAAATTGGCCAAACTGAAATTTTCAGAAATTGGAGATGGACGCCTGCTTTTAGTATTTGGGGGAAGTTTAGTAATAGGGAGAGGGTATTAATGGGATTCAACCACCAATCGGATTTCATGTGAAAAAGCATATATGGCAAACAAGCACATTCATGTGGCAAACCATGGCAAACCCAAGAATAAACCTATCATTTGGGGATGCTTTATACAGTGACATGTACCACCCATTTATGATGAGTTTAGGTAGAATCTTTCGTTCAATCCATCAAACAACACATCATATTACTCAGCTAGTTTTACGGGTACTTTTCGGGTAAAAAACTGCGAGAAGGTAGTCATTTTTGGCTCTCCGAGCACCATTTTTCGTAGTGGTTCTAAATTCTGATTACCGTGAACAGCTTCGCAAAACGTAAAAATATCATAATTTTTATCAATTTTACCCAAATCTGAGCGGGTAGTTCCGGGTACTTTTTCGGGGTATGGAAAATTTCCAAAACGAGGTTCTAAGTTTCAGTCCGTCAATATATATAATTATATATACCTTGACTCTCCAACGACCCTTAATTTTTGGGGTCTTTGAAGAAAAATGTCATTTTTTTCCGAAAGTACTTTTTTTGAAATCAAGTACTGTTTTTTGCATGTTAGTGATGTTCACTCATGGAGGTACAGCTGAAACTGTGGAAATCAAATAAATGTGCCACATTGCCAACTTGCAACTCATTGTTGCAGGTGCCATTTCTGTTTTGGCTGCTTGAAGGTGCAGGAGCAAAGATTTCCAAACTATTGGTTCTCGTTTACGTGTTTGATGCCATGGTTTCGATCTTGCTTGCTTTGGGTTTTGGACGCACTTTGCTCTTTCATTATTGCACGCATGAGGGTAGGTCTCAACACTCAGTTGCGGACACGCGGGTGAATTGCTCAATTTTGGTGACAACTTGTCGTTGGAAGATTTGCCCATACAATGCAAACATGCAAAGGCCTTGTTTCTTCAAACGTACCTTTTTTTGCTGAGGGCCGTCCGGACGGCGTCCGAAAGTACGGAAAAATGCGTCCAAAGTACGGAAATATCCGTCCGGCTTGGACCCGTCTGAACCAAAAGGACTTTTTTCCAAAAAACGCACCTTTTTTTTCACGTCCGTCCGTCCATCCGTCAAAACTGTTTCAGCAGCTGGCACCAGAAGATCAGGGCGAGTGGATGTGCTCAAACCCCGTGTATATTTTCGCATAAGTGTCGCAATGTGCAAATGTTTGCCCCCGCAGCTCATGATCAAAAGCAGGCGAAGGTTTTATATTTCGACACGAATTGTGGATCCAAAGCTTTTCAGCCATGAAGTTTTAGTTATGCGCCTGGGTCTGAATGATGTGTGAGGGTGCCTGATCCAACATTACACAGGACAAGAACAAAACGCTCACATGATTTAGCTTAGTAATGCTTAGTGTATATAGCCAGCACCTGCTTGGAAGATAAAAGGCCTTTTTTGCATGAAACGACACCAAAAAGTATCAAACGTACCCAAAAAAGATGTGTTTTGCAAACGACCCAAAAAACGAAGGGTAGTGGAGACTCCAGGTATATAATATATATATATACATATGTATATATAAATATATATATATATATTTATTTATTTATTTATATTTGTTTATTTATATATATATATGCATTTATATTTATATTTACATTTACAAATGTATTATTATCAGACCCGGCTTGACAAGCCCTGTTCTCGATTCTCGATTCTCGATCCTCGATTCTCGATTCTCGATTCTCGATTCTCGATTCTCGATCCTCGATTCTCGATTCTCGATTCTCGATTCTCGATTCTCGATCCTCGATCCTCGATTCTCGATTCTCGATCGTCGATCCCCAATCCTCGATTCTCGGCTCTCGATTCTCGATTCTCGATTTACGATCCTCGATCCACGATCCTCGATTTTCGATTTTAGTAATGGCAAAATATTGCAAAAATTAATTTGGGCACCTCCCTCCGCTGCTTCGCGTTTAGAGTTTGCGATCCCATTGTCCTCACCATCCGCGGGCTGTGAATGGGTTCCCTCGAAAGAAAAATGTCAAGCGGCGTGAAGAAGCCCAACGTAAGTAAGACTCAAAGTTCCTCTTTTACACCAGGCATCTTGAGCCAGATCTTGAGCCAGATGTATTTGGCAAAAGTCTCATGCATGTCGAGCAGAGGAACAGTGCCTATGTAGTTTCGCTCCTCCCCTCTGTGGCTGCGGTGTTTTGATTGCTCCTTGGATCCCTTCGGGGGTGCTCCCTGGCCCTTGGTCAAATGCTGTGTGGCCAGCATGCAAGAAAAAACTTTTCACAAGCTGACAAGTGACAACCTCGTATCATTATTTGCGATCCCTCGTTCTCGATCCTAGATCCTCTGTTCTCGAACCTGCTTTCCAACGTTGTCATTGTGGTATCATAAGGACGGAATTGTTCTGTGGTTTCATGCGCCCATGTACTCTACACACAGGTTTTCGCGCTCAGCTTTAGTTCCTAGACATGTCTATTTACAGTGTACACTGACCAGGGGCTAGCCACCTGTCACTTTAACCCCTGAGCCACTGGCTGCTTCCTGAGCGGCTAGCCTGCTCATGACACGCTCAACATTTTCACATCAATTCGGCCCACAGCTCCGTCAGTTGAGTAGAGCTCTCTTCAGCTCTTGCTTTGCCGGATTGTCCTCTCGGCAATCTTCACACTTGCTATACAAAGGTGGCTCCATTCGCCCGCCTCCCTTGCAAGATACTGGACGGTGATCCTGTCTGCACTCATCAGCTTGAAAACCTCTTCCAGAAGCCAAGCCACCGCAACGCTCCTGTAACGTCCGATCGTATAAAAAAACCCAAAGAGATGCTGTCCAGGCGCGGGTTCGTCCCGGATCCAACGGAGCAAATTCCTCATAAGATTTTCCCAGCTCTCGCTGCGAAAGCAATTCCACAGTGCCATCCAGGGTGAGCATGCAGCCCAGGATTCCTATAGGGGTCGTTGAAGTCGTTGCAGTCCACTCGGATTGGGTAGTCGCCTCCAACTATGTGCTGTGCCCCAAACACATGGAAGGTGAAGCTAAATCCACGCAATGCAGCGGGCATGGTCTGGGCAACTGGTGCGGTCGCTGACGCGGGCACAGCGCTGCTGGATGCTAAGGCTACAAGTGGTGTAGCATCCTCCGCCAATCGACCTGCGCAATGTTTAAGCGCGTTGAAAACCCACACCTCAACTTATTCCCGGGCAAAAGTAAGTGTCTCTCCAAACAAAGCAACATCAACCCAAAATGCTTAAACTATCAGGCAAGGTACATCTCTTCGGTGGTGGAGGCATAACCGGAGGAGCTGCTCGCCATGGCGGTGGCACAGATCGCAAAGCCGCAGTGCCCGACACAGCAGGAGCGCTCTTAGACGATGTCGTTGTCAGCCTCCGTCCTACCATGCAATGCTGGCAGACTCTATAACTGCTTTCCGAAATTTGCAACTTATTTGCTCTAGACTTTGGGGAGGCTATAGCCTTCCCAGTCGCCTCCCCCGCGGCCCAAACAAAAACATTGAAATCCAGTCCTTCAAACGTGAGTTCGTGCATCATTCTCCTTGCCAGTTGGACACCAAAAACACTGCCTTCCACGCGCAGCTGCCTCTGCACTTTTCTCGCTCTCAAGGAGATCTTGCACTTGGTCTCCATTTCCACAGCTTGCCGCTGCGCGGTGGTTACGGTGTGTTGCTCACCAGTCACCACTTCAACGTGGACATGCGACATGGCAGGGACGAAGCGATGGCTTGCCGGTCGTGAGATTCTGAGGACAGGATGTTGTCGACAATTCAGAACAGTGGATCTTACGTTGCTTAGCGCAGCGATCTGTTTACGCCTTTGTCCGCGCTCCACCGTCGCAACACACAGCGGCGTTTCCCATGCACTTGCTGCGCTGCTGCGACAAAACCAGCATGATGCCCTAAGCCTTATGTCTCCGTCATGGTCACGCGACAATGTCATTTCGAAAAGTCAAATTCGAAACTGAGGCGGCTAGCCAGCCCCAAATTTCCGCGCTAATACGTGCGGGTGGCTAGCCAACCCTCCTTAAGGCAACAAAACTGGTTCGACTCTACCATGTGCTCCTACAGGGATTGATGCCTGCCGCGCGCAGCGCACGCTCCATGTTTCGCTCCCTGTGTCGGACACTGTACAGCGCACACACCGGTGCTCCTTAGCGCAACAATGCCAAGGCAGCTTCACACTTACCCATGTCAAAGACCTCTGCCACTCCACGTTTCCTTATAGCTGCTTCCACCCCCTGCATAACAGCTCTCGCAAAAGTGTCAGAACTGCGGCTTCATGCTCAGGAGGCGGTTTTACGCCAGTTCAGGTGCAGGGCCTAAGGAAGCCAACCCTGCCTCAGCTCCCAAGCGAAACACATTGCGAGCCATCGCTTCCAATTCCTCTGCCTGAACACACTGCCTCAGCTTCGTGACATCCAGTATCACCCGCACAGTCACCCTTGAGGCTGATGACTTCAATAGGTACAGAAGTATGTTCTTTGCCAAAGGAACATTGCTGGAGAAGCCATCGCGACACAAATCTTTCTCTCGCCGCAACCTCTTTGCTGGCGGGGCCTGATCGTCCACAGCCTCCTGCGTCAAGGGAACTGCCGCCTCTGGCGCCGGACACGCTTGCGTAGGCACGAGAGGATCCACCATGAACACATCTCGACATCCATCCGCAATTGCAGCTTCACCCCGCAGAAGACGGTGGATGCACGATATGGCATCATCACATGCATCCTGGTCCAGCTTCGGCTTCTCTGCTCCACTGGTTGGTACCCAAGACCGGACAGCAGCAAGATCAGCTTCAGCATCCCAACTGGTGAGCCTCGCGCTAGCATGCTATATGGTTGAAGTTCATGCCCCGACTTGTGTTTACATTTAGAGGGCTCCCTCAAGGCTACGTGGACCAACTTATTCTAGATTATCTCTTACAACTTTGCCAGCTGCCTTGCCGACTCTCTACAAGACGACAAAACAGAAACGTAAGTCATTTTGATTTATCTAAGTGCATTTGCGCTGCTCAGGCCTGTTGCGCATACCCAACTAGAACGTAGCGGCCGCAGCCCATGACGACGAAACCCATCATCGCTAATATCAAAAGGTCTAGAAGTCTGGCCCGCACTTGTGCCGCGGTGTGCTGTGCATTCAAGGCGAAGGCCTTCAAGGTCCATGCCTTCAAAGAAAGACACTCCAATGCAGCCGCAATATTCCTTAGTAAGTTCCAAACCCCAGTAATGACAGCAGTCTATCCCTAATTGCACCCCTGCTTCTTGTGCAGCCCAACCGCACACCTGCCCATTGCCGACCCTTTGACTCTAACTACCCGCCCTGTGAATACAACGAGGCACACATGCGCACGCGTCTCATGCGAAATAAGGCTGGCAGCTTCTTTCACGCAAGGACGAGGTAAGAGAATCATGTTGCTGCGCTCAGTCTTGAACTCGTTCACCAACGCACGAGCCCCAACAGTGTTCTGGAAACTCGCGTGGAACCACTTGCCAAGCTCCACTGCCGTCTCCGCAGCTTCCGTCCTCGCGGAAGGATGGATCTGTGAGGGCTTGAAAACAGTGGAAACTTGCTCTATGTTCACCTTAGTCACACACAGTAGCTTTTCACATGTCCATGACGTGGCCTTCGGCCGCGGCATCTTTTATGGGTGATGTTCACATGTCTATGGCGCACTGGCGCGGGTACCGTTCAGAAAATGCGCAGCTATCAGAAATAGTTTGCAATCAGTCAGGGTGCGTGGAAACGGGAAACCAAGGTTGCGCGCTTCTGCTTCCTCTACCCAAGGCTGTACCCCCACTTCTTCTCTACCTCTCTCAACTTCCTTCCTGAACACCTGAACCTGTGATACAAGAACCGCTGAGCCAACGTACCCACCTTCAACAGTCTGCGAATATTGAAGAAGGGTCGATGTGGGACCGATTACTTCAAATCACCATGTTGCGCGCTTTTGGTTCCCCCTCATCGACGGCAATATCACTGCCCCCCATGCCCCTGCCACCCTTCTTCCTCGGAGCCTTGCCCTAAACATTCTGAGAACATCCTGCTGTGAACTTTCCGGTCACGTCACATACAACATGCACTGAGCTTCTCGCATGCGCCAGAGAACGGATGATCTCTTCGCCGCTGAGCTCAGTGTCCTGCCCCTCTGTCAGCCTGTGCCCATCCTTCTGCAAAAGCCAAGCGATCACCTTTTCAAAGACATCTAATGGAGCAATGAGCTGCAAGGCTCTGGTCTTCTCCTTGTTCAGCCGGCTGCTCTGACCACCCAACACTTTCTGGTCAGCGCGCACCTTGTTAACGTACTCGTTAAAAGTGTTGATGAACTTCTGTTTCACTGACGCAGCGAATGGCATGCTGTGTAAGCCACCCACATGTGAGAAGCAGCGGTGCTCTGCATCATCATCGCGTGCTTCATTGTGCGGGAAGAGCAACTTGCTGATTTTCAGCACGTGTGCCATGGCTGACACCACCTGATCATAGCCCAAAGACTTGAAACACTCATCCAGCTCATTCTGCGCTTCCTCTGCGGACTGCGGGTCGCGGATCTTCAACACATGACATGGGAATTTGGCCATCAGAAAACGGGGCAGGCCAGCCACAGAATCTTCTTGGGAAGCTTGCTGCACGATTTCTTCACAGTGCATCATCACCAATGCAATGAGATGCGGATTTTTAACCCAGTATCTGCCACTTTGATCCCCGTTTGGGGCTCCTGGATCAAAACCAGGAACTGGAGCCTCATTTTTTAACCCCATTTTAGCCAAATTTAGCCCAAGAATGTTAGGCCTCAGCTTTTTATCTCTTGGTCCCTTTTTCCCGAGAGCGCCTGCGAAGGGTTCTTCGTAAAAAAGCAGCCGTTATAATACATCTTCACACCTCACACCTGCTGATCTACATCTTCACATCCTCACATCTGCTGATCTACATCTTCACATCCTCACACCTGCTGATCTACATCTTCACATCCTCACATCTGCTGATCTACATCTTCACATCCTCACACCTGCTGATCCACATCTTCACATCCTCACATCTGCTGATCTACATCTTCACATCCTCACACCTGCAGATCTACATCTTCACATCCTCACACCTGCTGATCTACATCTTCACATCCTCACATCTGCAGATCTACATCTTCACCTCCTCACATCTGCAGATCTACATCTTCATATCCTTACACCTGCTGATCTACATCTTCACATCCTCACATCTGCTGATCTACATCTTCACATCCTCACGTCTGCAGATCTACATCTTCACATCCTCACATCTGCAGATCTACATCTTCACACCCTCACACCTGCAGATCTACATCTTCACATCCTCACATCTGCTGATCTACATCTTCACATCCTCACATCTGCAGATCTACATCTTCACACCCTCACATCTGCAGATCTACATCTTCACACCCTCACATCTGCGGATCTTCTATCTCTCTCTTAAGGCCAGGGGCGGTGCCGCCGGAGCGCCACGAAACGCAACCCTTTCGCACGAAATGGACGTTGGACGTCCAAAACCTAGGTAAAATTGCGATTTTGAAGTGTCCATCGCAACCCTTTCGCACGAAATGGACGTTGGACGTCAAAAACTGAGGAAAAATTGCGACTTTGATGCGTCCATCGCAACCCTTTCGCACGAAATGGACGTTGGATGTCAAAAACTGAGGAAAAATTTGGAAAAATTGCGACTGTGAAGCGTCCATCGCAACCCTTTCGCACGCGTGGTTTCACACAGGTGCAACTTCGCAGCTGCTGGTGCCCTCTTTTTTGCAAGAGGCACCTTGAGCCATTTGTTCAATGGCGTGTCATCCTTGTGCAGGTGGCCATGCCATGTTACATGCCACCCAACTTTTGAAACTTATGGTCTTTTGACCACACATGACTGCAAATGGAGTTATGGCTCGATCAATGAACCACACTCCCCCCTGCAGGTCACTGCAGTACAGGAAAACATTCAAAACTAAGCCTCCGGCCCTCAGTAGAGCTCCAGCAGCATAAAGCCAGATCCTCAAGGCGCAGGCTCTTCCTCCTCATTGTTGCGGTTTTCATCTTCTTCATCCTCGTCATCAGTGACAAGAGCCCATTCTACCAGCGGCACGTCCCAATCCTCTGTAAGAGGTAGATAGGACCTGGGAAGTCGTGGGTCATATCCAGAGCTCGAAGAGGCCGGCTCCAGAGCGGCAACACCACGTCGAATGATGCCACCACCACCACGATTGTATCCCACCGAGGTAGTTCCTGAAGTCTTGTTGTAGGGGCTGGTCGGGTCATGCATAGGGACCAGCCTTGTTTCCTGAGACTCAGCACTTGACAAAGTCCCAGTTCCACTCGAAGCCAAGCATCCATCCAGGTACAAACGGCCGATTACTAGGCCAGGTTCCCTTTGGGGTCTTTGGCGCCTTGGAGTCAGCATGTCACTGTGAAGACCGACGTGCACGTCCATGTCGTCCTCCTTTGCAGGGGGAGCAGCAGGCCACGGAGGTCCATCAGCGGTATCAGCTGGTTCCAGCTGTATTTTCAGACCTTCCAAGGCTTCATTCCTCATAGTGAGGAAGGTATACCCGGTCCATTTGGTTTCGGACCGCACCACGGGATTGTCCCATCTGTCAGAGACCAAAAATCCCGGACCGTCATCTGCAGGGTTCAGGAAAAAGGCCTTGGTGACTCTCTCACCTGTCAAAAACTTCGCTTCGACAGGTGCTGA